AGAGGCGGAGCCGGGCCAGAAGCAGATCCCTCGAGGACCTGGGGCCCTCCGTGGGCCCAAGAGCAAGCACATAACATCCAGGGATCCCCTCCCCAGGCGGGGGGAGCATAGGGTGCAGAGGCGCCCGACAGAGAGAGGTAGCAGACAAGCCGCCTGGAGCACGATTACCTTACGGGGGGGGGGGGGCGGCTGACAGCTGCAGGAAGGTGGGTGCCCGCGCCAGTGTCGCCTGAGTCCAGCCCACGGCCCCTGGGGGTGCGGCGAACAGCCGCGGTTACAGAAGGGGAAATGTCTCGCCTGAGACAGACGGGAGCCCAGCCGGGGTGCAGCTAACAGCCGCAGAGTGAGGAGGAATGGTTCCACGTGAGACAACGTGAGGCACGGCTGGAGTGCAGCCGACAGCCGCAGAGTGTAGGGGAATTGTTTCGCCTGAGACATGCAGGTCCTCTGGTAGGGTGCAGCTAACAGCCGCAGGATGGTGGGAAATAGCTTCGCCTGAGACGCGCAGCTGCACTGCAGGGGGGTGGGTAACTGACGCGGCCCGGAGGGTACGGGTCGCGCCTGCATGGACGACTGGGGTGCAGCTAACAGCGAAGCGCAAGAAGCGTCACAAATGTTCCACGCCTGCACCGAAGATGCGGGAAACTTATCAGGAGGCGCGAGGGCTTTTGAGAAGTCCCGCCGCCTTCTGAGAAGGGCTTCTCCTTCTCACTTCCCCCCCTCGCTCGCCGCCGAACCTGGTCCTCTACCTCCTGCTACGTGTGACCGAAATCGAGCGCCTCGGCCTGTGCCGTGTCCCCCTGTCCGCCTCGTGGTCCTCCTCCTCCTCCTCCTCCTCCTCCTCCTCCTCCTCCTGTGATCCTGCTCGCCCTCGCTTCGGTCCGTGTCCTTGTCAGGCTCCTCTTGCCTCTTCGCCCCCCTCCCCCCCCCACAACCTCCGAGAAGAAGAAGAAGATGATGGGCAACGAAGGGGGGAGAAAGAAGAAGCAAAGAGAGAAGAGAACGCGTGAGTGGATATTGATGAAAAGGGAGGGGGGTACGCATAAGGACCCATCGACGGTGCAGTCAAAAAGACGAAACAGCTCCAAAGCGAGCCTCCTGAAAGCGTACGCCCTAGAACATCGGCCTGAATGCTTCGAGTGCCAACTTACCACTCGCCGCGCCCTGGCGGCTGGTCAGTAGGAGGACTGCGTTGGTCGTACCATTTGCCCTTGAGGAAATCAGCTATCCACGGACCCGCGCCTCGTGAGGGGACGGGGGATGACGAGGGGGAAACGGAGGGGGTGGGAGAAGACGGGGATGAGGACTGAGGCGAGCGGAAGGACGACGCCTGAATGCTGGCGGGCCGTGCAGCTCCCACGCCGCGCGGCGGGGCTGGCCCGGCCCACGAGATCGTGGGAAAAACACAACAAACCACACAAAACACACACACACACACACAAAAAAAAAACACACACACACACACACACAAAAAAAAAGTGTGTGTGTGTGTTTTTGTATGTTTGTGTGCTTGTTGTGTGTTTGTTTCCCGTTGGCTTCGCCGCAGGCCTTCGGAGCCCGCGTGGCCGTTGACGCCACCGCGCGCGCGCGCTGCGCCCCCGCGGCACGGAGGGCGACAGGGCGGCGAAGCGACGGGTGCCCCGGGCAGGCGCGGGCTCGAAGGGCCTCGCGCGATGGCCGAGGCAGGCCACACCGTGCGGAGCAGGGAGCGCACGCGCGCAAGCATGCGCGGGGAACGCGCGCGGGAACGCACGCGGGATCGCCCCCAACTCACACACACACACACACACACACACACACACGCGCACACTTTTTTGGGTCTGCGGGTCGGGAGCGGGCCTCTTCCGGTTAAGAGCAAGGCGGGGCGCGCAAAACACTAGTTGGGGAGACAGGGCGCGGGCGGGCGGGGCCTCAGGCGGCCGGAGGGCTCAGAATACAGGCGGTGCCGAAGATCTTGCACAGGACAAGGTACGCCATGGACTGGAGCAGGGGGCGCGGTCCCAGAGACACACACACACGCACATGTACATACATGTCCGCCGCCGTGCCGCGAGGCGCGAGGGGAGTGTTCCCCCCAGGCTCGCAGGTGCTCTCTGCCCCGAGTGCTGTACTCTGACATTCTGGGGGCTGGGGGCCAACATTCTCGGACTGCTCGGGCTCCGATCAGCAGAGCGGCGCTCTGCTAATTTGCCTGAAAGCATACGCACTCGCTGCTCCTCCCCTCATTAGCAGAGCACTGCTCTGCTATGTGGCTTCAAAGCAGGGTTCCCCATCCTGCTCGGGCTCTGATTCGCAGAGTGCCGCTCTGCTAAGTGGCCTCAGAGCATGTGCGCGTTCACTGCTCCTCCTCTCGTTCGCAGAGCGCCGCTCTGCAAATTTGACTCAGAGCACGCGCGCTCGCTGCTCATGCTTTATTCGCCCCAAGTGCCTCGAACTGGCCAAGAGGGCCCAGAGAAGCGCCCAAGAGGGTCCGAGAGGACTCCAGGACGGCCCCAGAGCGCTCCAAGACGCCCAAGATGGCCCCAAGGCTACCCAAGAGGCCCCACAGAAGCCCCTAGAGCGCTCCAAGAGGACCTCCAAGAGGGCCCCAAGATGTAAACATCAATTCTATTTCTTGTGGTTTGCAATGTGTTTCGCTTTCTCGCGTTTTCAAGCTTCCGATGCTCCGAGATGGCCCCAGAGGCCCCCAAGACTGCTCCAAGACGGCCAAAGAGACCCCCAAGAGTGCCCCAAAAAGGCAACCCAAGAGGGCCCCAAAACGCCACAGGAGGCGTCCAAGACGACCAAAGAGAGACCCAAGACTGCCCCAAGAGGGGCCCAAGAGGGGGAACACGAACCGACAGATCGAGCCTTCTGCCCAAAAAAGACCCCAGGAGGCCCCACGAGACCCCTCGAGGCCCAAAAAGAGGCCCCAACAGGCCCCCAAAAGGCCATCAGAAGGCCTCGAAACTGACTTCAAGAGACCCCCGAGGGGACCCCCACGAGGTCCCAACGAAAATCCAAGAAGCCTCAAACACAGAACCCAGGCCACTAGACACATACATCTCATACATATATATCTATATATATATATATATATATATATATATGTTTAGATTCACACACGTAGATACACACATACATACATACATACATACATACATACATACAGACATACATACAGACAGACAGACAGACAGACAGACAGACAGACAGACAGACAGACAGACAGACAGGCATATATACACATACGTGTTGCTGGTCCCCCACTCGACTGCTGATATCGAGGAGCAGGTCGGAGTACCTGCGCTGAGATAGCCGCGGGCCTGGGCCAGCCTCGGCGCGTGGCGACCGACGACGTGCAGTGGACGCCACCGTCACCGACGAGATCGCCCAGCTCGCGCGCGGGGCCCCGTGGCGACGGCAGCCGCCGGAAGCACTTCCCGTCGCGAAGCGGCCCCCCCGTGGCGTTCAGAAGGGCGCTCCACAGGATGTGCCGAGAGCGCTGATCTCTGCCTCGTCGCGGTGCCAGCCCGATCGCATGCAAACATGTCGACTGGCTGCGTCGGTCGCGCCAGAGGAGCGCGGCGTAGGAGCCTCCGGCACCTCGAGAGGCACCAGGCGTCCACCCTGCTCCACGGGCCGAGTGCGGCCGTCAGCGCAGCCACGCGCGAGTGCATTGGGCAGATGCTTGCTGTTGGAGGAGAGGAGATCGGACACCCCAACGAGAGCAGACTCCTCAAGCGAGCGCACCAGAAATAGTTTTAGACCGGCGAGCTGGCAGGGGCGGAAACGCGGACAGGTGTGAGTGCGTTGGGCAATTGTGCAGTCTGCTTCTACGGGGTACCACGAGGGAGTTGCCGCGTGGCACACAGTGGTCGTTCTCCACCGCCCAACGACAGTTGCATCGCAAGATGCAACGTCCGCCCCTGCTGGAAAATGCAAGCCGCACTTCGAGCAGCGTGTGAGTCGGTAGCGTCGACGGCCTGACAAAGCTTTTCAGAAGGTATAGCTGTCCAAGGTCCAGTAAACATGTATGCCCAACTCCGCCAGCAACGATCCACTCGAACCAACTAAGTTCAATATCAAAGCCAACTACTTCATGTGCAACGAATGTTGCGTAACAGCTGAACACAAACTAACTCAAGGCTGCCGCAAACATCAGATATCAAAGCCTATCCACGCGAAACGAAGAGCCAATCTTAATCAATGGCCATGAACAACTAAAACACAGGACGTGCAAACCTGGCATATGCGAGACTATAGGGCTGAAGCCATGTGCGTACGTACATAAGCATATATGTATATATATATGTATATACGTGTACATATAAACGTAGATACTGCAGCAAACCTGAGGGATTACGTATATAGCGCACTGTGAACATCATGCAAACAAAGCCGAACGCGATACCAAGGAGAACTTAAACTTTCAACCAGCGGATGAAACACAATTCACATGGCCAGCATTCATGTCACAGTAAGGGGTGAGCCGACGGCAGGGATGGCGGTATAACACACGTAGATGAGCTATAACACGTATGGTGGCAAGATCCCTGCGTGATTCCTTGACCTGGATCAACCCTACAAGCCTAGATCACCGTTGCTGCTTTCAACCGTCAGCTCGTCCCTGGACTGCGCCGATGTGGACAAGAGCCGCTGGACACAAGAGGCCGACTCTGGAAACCCTGTATCCAAAAATGTGAACTCCGCCACAGAAGCCGCCCTCGCGTTGCATTCGCTGGCCCCAGCCAGACTTTCGCCTCTTTCCGCCGAAGAAGAGAAACCACGATGGGCCGAGTTTCCACCACCACTACCATATGTAGGAGAGGGAGGAGGTCGAGGTCGAGGAGGAGGAGGGGGAGGAGGAGGAGAACGACCACCGTCCTACCTATGGGAGTGGTGGTGGAGAACTTTAGACCATCAAACCAACCTCTCGAAGGCGAGGCCCTGCCTGGAGCGCACCGAGCAAGATGGGAAAGAGGGGGGGTGGAAAGAGCACGACGGACCCTTTTCGGCTGCTACCGCGAGGCACACACGCCGTAGCCGCCGCTTCGCCGTGCCGGCTCCGCCTCTGGGCAAGCCCAAGAATAAGTGCCCCCGGACGACGTGCCCTCAGGTCGGGCGTGTCCCCCTACAGGCGGCTTTTGGAGGAACAATCAAAAACGGTCTAAACATATTTCAAATCAGATAAGGACACACAAAAAAAGAAAGATCGTCCCCAGATCATGTTTTGACTACATTTGAAACTTCCTCCTGTAGTGGGACAAGCCCCACTTCGACGTACCCCCAGCGAGAGGTGTCGAAGCGGCCACGGCTTCAGCCACGCCTCCTCCTCCGCCTCCTCCTCCACCTCCGCCTCCGCCTCCGCCTCCGCCTCCGCCTCCGCCTCCGCCTCCACCTCCGCCTCCTCCCCCTCCTCCTCCTCCTCCTCCTCCTCCTCCTCCTCCTCCTCCTACTCCT